GTGGCTGCAGGTCTGTGGCAGTGAAAACAGTCACGCAGACACCAGCGTCAAAGCTTGATGGTTTTTCTTCTTGAACCTTAAAGAACAAGCCTACTTTTTTTTGCTCTGGAGTGTGCATGAACTGAGTCTCCAGGATGTCTTAACCCAAGTCGCATGTCTTGTCTGAGGCTGGCAAGATCTTCTTTGCCCTCTTCTGAGGAACACCAACACCTGCAGCCGCGAGACGCCACGGGCAGGTGATAAACGAGCATTTGGGGCTGATGCTGCTCTCATACCTGAGAAAGCACCAAAGTTGGTGAACTCCCAGAGGGAAGGTGGATGCAAGTCCAGCTGAAAACTCACTCCTTAAAGTCCTTGTCATGTCCGATTTATGAATTGCTGCACAGACCTACAGAATTGCAGCAAATGAGTAATAAAAATACCTGACTGACGCTTATTTTAATGTGTGTGAAGGGTGCTGTGTAAAACTTCAAGCAGCTAAAGCAGCTGCCCACTTAATAAGTATTTATATCTGGGTGCAGTGCAATGGCTTTATGTGCATTTCTATTTTTATCTTTTAACAGGGATCTCTGCGAAAAGAATTTCCTCAGTCCATTGGGGGGAGCGACATTTGTTATTTCTGCAAAAAACGGGTCTATGTTATGGAGCGGCTGAGTGCAGAAGGCCACTTCTTTCATAGGGAGTGCTTCAAGTGTGAAATATGTTCTACAACACTCCGTTTAGGAATTTATGCCTTTGATGTTGAAGAAGGTAATATAAGAGCTATTTAGGAATGTCTTAAAATGTCTGAATATTGATGCTTTTAATGGAACTAAGGAAAAAGGCCTGGTCGAGTCGCTCAGTCAGGAGGAGGTCTGCCAAGTACACTGTCTGCGTCCGTGCTGATCTTTGAGTCTTTGTACTTGCAGTTCTAGTCTTTCAAAATAATCCAGTTGTGACAGACCTGAGCTTTAAATGAAGAAATCATCAGTGGAAAATAAGTTGAGTGACCAAAATGCAGTTTGTCCAGTCACAGGTCAAAATGGGAGGGAAAAAGGTGATTTTTCTCATCGCTCATAGCTGGCTGTTAAATAATGTGATCTGTAAGGATAAGGTGTGATAGTGGCAGATTTAGATGACTGGATGTAATATAGGTTATTTCTTTCAAGATGTTGTGGCTTGGGAGTTGAAAGCAGTAGTCCTGGCCAAGCAGCAGTGTACTTTATTCCAGTCTGCTGCAGAAATGGACGATTCAGATCTTGGGCACGCAATCCCACCTACTGCCTGCACGTTGGAGATAGGGAATTATTTTTTGCCATGGTATGTTTTGTTCGGTTTTTGGTTTGGTTGGTTTGGGTGGTGGTTTTTTTGTAAATTAGGGGGAAATTATTAAAATGAATTGAAATTCCTTTGACACTTCCAAATGATTTGAGTAGTTTGGAGTATCAGCCTGATCTCCTTCTAAGAAACCATTAAAGACGCAAGGCCAAAGGTGATTCTTTTGCAGTTCAGAGAATCTTCTGCAAACGCTTCTTCTGAACTGATTGTTTGACTTTTTGCTGCTTGATATTTTGTGTTGGTTTGTGACTTGATATTTATAAAATCTGTTTTTTCTGCTAGTTATTAATCTTAAACTTGTGTGGTAGATAAATGACCTTGCCTTACTTCAGAGATGTGCAAATCTGTGCAATATGAAAGAAACTCATTCAGACCTATGAGCTATTGACAGTTGGTGGCAAGTTTCCCATTCCTTTTGCTGCCCAACCACTAATTGTCCTGATTTCATCTTTTTAGAGATGCAACAGTGGGGTTTCAGTCTGTAGATGTATAGATAAATTATAATGTGATTCATTTTTTCTTATAGGTAAATTTTACTGTAAACCTCATTTTACGCACTGCAAAATCAGCACTAAACACAGAAAGAGAAGAGCAACGTTACAGAACCAGGGCAAGGTATGTATTGGCTGTATTATGAGTGCAGATGTTGAGAAGCAGCTTTACCTGGAGCAGGGTGCAATACTTGTGTAAGACATCTTCTACTTGATGTCCAGAAGTAGTAAAATCAATGCTAAAATATAGCCCCTGGTTCTGTGGATTTGGCATATTCGTAGTTTGGTTCTCATTGGAAATTAGCTTTTCCTATATAAAGTAAAGTTGAACAACTGGAAATGACAATGTGTACAAAAAAATGAAAACAGCAGCAGAAACTGAACTTCCCATTTTTAGAAGTATATTTAACTTTTTTTTTTTTATAATGCTTTATATAAGGAGGCAACAGAAGCATGGAAGAAAGAGGAACCCAAACCCACAGAGACCACCACAGCAAGCACTTTGCCTGCTGGCAGCAGCCCAGAGGACAGGTCCCCAGGTATCCTGACTTCCTTCTTTAGGGGCACGCTAAGCTGGCCCCTTCGGGTGACAAGGGATCTGCTTGACATTCCCAGACGCCTGTCTAACTGGATGCATGGTTTTCTGCAGGCTACCAACCTTCATTTCAGGGACAATGCATATAACTATGCTTACTTGTATGAACTCTTGAGCCTTGGTGTGCCATTCCTCTGTGCTCTTTTAGAGGTACTTACTCATATGTACCGCGAAGCAGAGCTATCACTTGAAAATGTGCTTGAATGGGTAAAAAAAATCTATAGGGTTTAAATTCTTTTATGTGTCTTGCTCAATTGTGCCTTTCAGATTTTCAAAATTACCAGCCTGGCTATTTTCCTGGGGTGGGAGGAGCAGTTATTGGTTTGGTTAGGTTGTTGGGGGTTTTTTAACTTTTCATGCAATTTAACATGTGACTTAAAAGGATGATGGATTCCTTCTGATATAAATGAGATGCAATCAAAATTTTAATGTAAAGTGTACTGTTTATTAGAACATGAAGGATAGTGTCCAGACACATTTCCAGAACATGGAGGCGGATGAAGGATATTTTGTAGATTTTTTTGTTTTTCTCCACATTTTATCCCCTCATCAGCTTGTTGTGAGGGTAGTACTTTGAAAAACTGTTCTTCCTGTTTCCACCCTCTTTTTTATTTTTTTGTTAGACCAAGAAAGAACATACATTCTTTCAGATGTTTGGGGAGTATTTATGACAAATGACTGGGTTTTGAAACCTGCATATGACGCATACTTTTTTCTCCTGCTTTCATCTTTGCTCTGGGTTATGAGGTTTATAATTTGCATGGATGTATTTTTTAAAAAAAGAAAAAGTAATTATGTACTTAACTGACATGCTTCTAGTCACGCCTTTTACAGTTCTTACATGTCCTAGATACCCTTTGTTGATAGTGGGTACGATCTGTATTTACTAATTTATTTAAAATTTTGAAATAAATTTGAAGAGCAAATATGAGTTGATTGAAGGCTTGATTGAAGCTGTAAATCAAAGGAACTGGTAGCCTGATTAGACCTGACTTATTCATCCACTCAAGGCTTCCTCATGAGGTGGCTGATTCAAGGAATCTCACTTTACAGAGTATTCACCTGTAATTGAAACTCTGCTGTTGTGTCTCTGGGTAGGCACCGCTCCTATTGTCCTTTTGAATTTTTTAAAAATACAAGTTTAGAACAACAAAAGCCTACAAATGTATTCTAAGGAGGTTACTTCTTAGCTACATGTTTAATTAATTTCAGTGTGTAAAGCTGGGAGCAGAAAGGTGAAATTCTGTAATATGGACCAACCGTTAAGTAAATTTGCAGGTGTCTCTTGACAATGTCTAACTTAATCTGAAGGTGTTGGGACAGGTTAAATGGCAAGGACACCCTAACATCCCAAATTACTTAGATTTTTCTAGTTAGCATGCTCCCTGTCTCTCAAGTACTTAAAATGTTTCCATTCAGAAGTTAACCAGGAAATAGGTAAATAAATTCATAAACATGGTGATATATATATAGCCTAAAATTAAAAGCATCTGTAGCATTTTTTTTTTCTAGCCAAAAGGATGTAGTTTAAATAATAGGAAATAATGTCACATTCGGTTAGTACGAAAGCTGAGGATCACCTTCCAGTGGTCTTAAATGACCACACTGATAATAGGCTGGCAGCTTTTTCATGTTTTTTAACATGATGTGGAAAAAGAGTAATTGATTTGGCTTTTAGGTATTAAAAGGAAGTGTATCTGTTTAAATGACAAACTGGATTTTTCTTCTAGATAGTTTGACTTTCTTTATAAGGATAAAGATTTTCACATTTTAGAATGCTTATGTATTTTGAAAAAAAATTGCTAAGTATATGCACAGAACTTGAAAAAGTGCTTGAAGAAAAATCGCAAAGAATGAAGGTATAAGTTAGTGTTCATTTGAAACAAATTGCCATTAATGCTCAAACATATATTCAACAAAACATTGCTAGAATATTGACTGGACACCACAACAGTTATAGTAATGTGGTGGGCATCTCTATATATGTAAAGAAATGTACCTGTACCTCTTCTATAGCATTTAAAAAAACCCAACAAAACAAACCTACTTTGGAACACTGTATACTTTTCAATTATTTGCTAATTATAGTAATTGTTTCACCCTAAAAAGAAAGAAATCTACAATGCAACTTACTATGTTACTCCTGCGACACAGCAAACTGCTAAGTGGTAAAGTTTTAAGAGTTGGCTTGCTGTCAATTTTGATTTCGGTTTGTCAACAGCACAGCCTTCAGGAGCATTTTTTCCTGAAATTTTCTCCTGCTGTTTACTCAGAAAATATTATGCTTTTCAGCAGAGTGAGCATAATGGTAAACCTACAGAAAATGGTTATATAGTAAGAAACTTGGAAATCTCTGATGTCCAATGAATTTAAAGCAAATGAGTCTTGCTAGTAGAAAGGTTTTTTTAAAAAATAATAATAAAGATGGTATTAGCTTTACATATATGTTTGTGTAAAGGGGAATAAAATCCCTAAATTCCCACAGTAGAATTCAGGAAAACATTTTCCTGAGGAATTCAGGAAAGCATTTTCCTGAGGAATCTTAATTACACTGCATATTCCACTGACAGTTTGTAGGTGATTCTGTTGGGAAGGTTTTTTATTGGTATCAGTCTAATTGGCATGGTGGGTTTTTTTAATATTTTAATCTCTTCAGCTTGATGTTCTGCTAGTAAGACTCATACTTACATGTCTTCAGTCAGGATCTGATGAAAAAAGGCAGTTTCATTTTGGCCAATGCTTCTTCATGCCTGCTTAATCTTTCTGATGCTTTCCTGTATAACCAAGTTAAGTTCTATGTTTGGTTTTTTTTTTTCCTTGTTGTCTTCTCTGTCAATCTCCCTCGTTGCTTTTAGTCCAATTCATCATTCCGGTGGTGCACCCGCTCACTGGCTGAAGCCTTTCTGCTCTCAGGTGAATTTTTTTCCGCTTGCCAGTTTCAAAATGGTGTGACTAACACTGTTGTTGGAGAGCATTTCATTGTGCCTTTTTTTAAGACTTCTGTAGCAAACTGTGTGTGTCTGGTATATTAATGGATGTGAGCTTTGGTATGATCGTTTAACCTGTTGCTGAGTTCACAATTCAGGAAAGGTAACGTATGCGCTTTCTGCAGAGAATATGTCTGTCCACATACGTTCCTTGTGCCTTTAAGATAAGTTAGGCAAGTACATTATGTCTTGAAAGAACTAGTTAAAGCCTTATTTCCTTCAAAGTATTGAAGGAAAGATGTCAAGTAAGGTCAGGACAAGATTAGCTAGCTGATTCTCCTGGTTAGCCACACCTCTTTCCAGTGAGCTCAAATATGCAACAAGCAAGCAACATCTGAGCACTGTGGCACTTTCTAAGCATTTCTTTGCTTTCATACTAGAAAAATACGATAGAAAAAGATTCTGTTGAAACCAAAATAGAGCCAAAGCAATGCAAATTCCAGTCTTCCACCCCAAGTAACATAATCAGCAGGACTAACGGCAATATGTGTGCATGCTGTTTTTAGTCTGTAATACCAAAATGCCAAGTTTATAAACTGGTTTCTGGTTATATAACACCGGCATGTTTTGGTTTGTGTTGTTTGGTTAACTAATTAACTAGGCCCCATTTGCCACTCTGATGAATGGATTAGTCTTGCTGCATGAGCCGTTGCCACTACTCTCCATGACAAATTTGTGTGATTATTTTGTATGTATTTGTTTATGTAAATTCCAGTACGTGTAATCACATGTTGATAATTTGGAAGGGGAAATAAATCCAAACAAGAGCCAAGGGCTCAGTCTGACAAGCAGGTGTGCTGAGGTTTTGGTTGATATGGTCATGACCCAGCCTTCCCTGCTGAGGATCCCTTTCAAAGGGAATTGATCTAAGGAGCAATTTCCAGGAGGGGCCAGACATCCTCTGCTACTTGCCCCGTTTCACACGCCCCAGCCAGGAATGCAGAAGGGCTGCAGGGTCCCACACTTTATCTTGCTGACCTGTATGTTTGCATGACTAAAGCAATAGTATTTATTTGTGTGGGTATCCTAAAATGACTTGATGGCTTTGAAAGTCCCCACGCTGTGCCCACACAGGTACCTCTCCTCTCCATATTTTAAGTGTCACTTCCTGCATAAAGGGTTAGGACATGACTTCCTACGTATTTCAGGGCTACAGTGTTTTGTTACAAAGCTCAGCATGCTTTGAGATGAAGGTTGTGACGTAAAGGTCTGCCATTTCAAACCGCTTCCCGTTGCTGTGTTTTTTACCCTCTGTTGCAGAGTCTTCCTAGCTTTTCCTGGCGAGTGAGGATTCTGTCTTTCTCCTAAATCTTCTGTCTTCATTTTACTTTATAATCTTAACTGAATGTTTTTATTAAATAGTTTTTAATGCTGTATTTAAATTTTCACATGGAAATTCTGTATTTTGCACACAGTGAAAATTGTTCTAGCTTTATTTATGATATCTGCTGTAAACAAAAATAAATGTAGTTCTTTATAAATCTTCTTGTTTCATCTTTTCCTTTTAAAAATATTTCCTGAGGACAGAGACTTAATGATTTCACACCTGTTTCACAAATTCCTCTGCTGGTGGATGCTATTGTGTTATCTTTGTGGTGGCCTGGCCCAAAGGCCAGAGAGTTTCACTGTGGTGGTATAATCGCATGTGTGTCCCTTTTCAAAGGGACGTTCGTTGGGCTCCTTGACAAGTTATCCTATCTGCTGCGGATCGGGAGGTGCCTGGTGTTGGGATTTATCCTTCCTGGGAATGATCATTTGGTGTTGGTGAGCACGGGGGTTGCTTGTGTTGCATACACAAAAGGCACTTGTCCTCTTCTCTCTGGCATCTGTTACCTTTTCTTGTGTTTTTAGTTTACATATTGGCAAATGTCATAATTAGGATAAGTTCCATGTGATTGAGGTCTTAGATTGTGTACAGGAAAAGCAGGTAATAACTGTGGGTAAAGCTTTATCTTTGCCACTGGCTCCGGAGTGTGATCTGCAAGCTCCCTGTATCTTCTGGACCCCTGGAAGCTGCACCTAATGGTGTACTATTATCTGTTAACAGTAATATTTATTTATTCATTCATTTATTTATTTATTTAGCCTTTCTTTTTATGTTTGTAGAGCTGATTTTGTGGTTTTTGTTAAACTGCAGGTTCTCCAAAAGAGCTTTCCTATATCTTCCTCCCCCTCATCTTCTTCCTTTTCTTCACTCTGCACTTCTTAAGCTATAGTTTCTTCCTTGTGTTTCAAGAAAAAGAAAAAAAATCCCAGAAAGAATATCCCAATAATTTAATGGAAATACTGTGTGATGTATATTTACATAAATTCCAACTATGCCTTAGTAGGGTTAATTGAAGTACAAAAATGCCGTTTTTTCAAGTGTTGCTAAAGACAGCATTGCTAAATAACAAATGTTACTCACAATGAACTATTGCATTTTCCCTGCCAAAGAAAAAGCCACCATGCACAGTAGAAAGTTTGCTGTCCCAGGGGCAGATGATTTGCATAATGAAAACATAGTGCAGTGAGTACCATTTAAGACAATACTTGGCACTTCCTTACTTGCAATGGACAAAGCAATTCATGTGAAACTAAATGTACTGTTTGCACAGTTTACAGTTTCAGGGCAGGCTTATTTCTGCTATCTCAATCATTTTAGACAGAGACAGTGGCATAGAAACATCAGAAGAGTTGTGACTGCAGAAGTTGATGATCTGGTTGTCACTGAATCTTTAAAAGGCATCAGATGTTTATGCTATTCTCATAAAGTTTCACTTACTCCTCTGCTAAAATATCGGTACAATAGCTTGGAATTGGGGTAATGTCAGCATCTAGATTTGTAATAATTGTGTTTCTCATGTTGGTGCAGAAGGCACAAAAAGTCAAGTCGTTAGCAAGTCCTATCGCCAGAGAGATAAACCTAGCAGTGAACAGTCCGTGCCCTGGAACACTAGTGGAGAAGAGAGCACACAGTGTATGGAAAGAAATAAACCACAAAACGAGCAACATGAGGGGAGAAAGTTTGTAAGTTCCCTCACTCTCCGTCAAAATCATTGCACAATGAAACTAAATATTCCTTGTTTTGCTCTCAGTAATGCTGCTAGAGGAAGAAGGTAGTGGGTTAAGTTCTGAATGAATTTAACAGGCTGAATTTGGCATTCCAGTCTTCCTCTGGCCATGTGAGCAGGCTGCCCTCTGAGTAACAGACTTGAAAGCTCCTACTGCTCCCGCGTTGAGCTCTTCCAGAGCTCCAGTGCTCTCAGCCTCCAGCAAGCGCGTGCTGTTACGAATGCAGCCCCGAGCGGTGATGGTGTGTCCCTTTGTACCTGGAATTGGCAGCGGTGCTCGCATGAAAGGCAAAGAGGCAACTGCTCTGGTCTTGAGCTGCTGCTGATCTCGGTGCCTTCCCAAAATCACGGTTGCAGAGCAGATGATACTAATGCCTATTTACATAGTTAGTGCTTTCTAAGGCTTGAAAGCCGCTTGATATTGCAGATGCCATTGTAGCAAGTGCGGAGGTGGTGTTAGCTGTGCCTGGCAGGCTCAGGAGTTGCTCTTTCCTCCTCTTTATACTGGCTCAAATGGGTTCTGAATTTGTCTGTTGCCACTAGACACCATTTGGGTTGGAAATACGCACAAAGATGTAGGTGTTGGGTTTTTTTGAAAAGCCAGGCCAATCTTCCATTTTCAAAGCAAGGCAGCATTATCTGTGTAGATGTCTGTTACTGAAAAGTAAACGTGTCAGGATTATGTAAAGGTAACTTATTTTATTGTAATTATCTTAATACTTTATAATGAAAAAGATCTTGTGTAGTGGATTTGGAAAAAATAAAGCATAGACAAACCTTCTTCAAATCGCTCAAATTCAAATGTCAGCCTTTCATTAACTCTACTGAGAAAAGTAATTTCTGTTTGTCTTGGTTTCTTGTAGACTGCTACAGCGATAAAATGCCAGAGAAAGTTGCTTCTGTTTATATTCCAACCTCAAGCAAGGGCTATGGTCTGCACTTTCCATTTACACGTTATGGCATACTATAATTGGCTTTAATTCATTTCTGACTTACTCATTCCTCACATTCTAATGAAAACGATGAGTTCTGAAATGCACTGAATTCTGCATTCAGTTTTCAAAGGCATGTCGCGTTTGCAGATGACTTGATTTTTTTGCATGAAAGATCATGTTGCTGAAGATCAGAAGACATCATGTAATAATGCTTGATCCAAGTATACATATTAGTCATGCAAATATCTCCTCAAGTCTCTTTCCTTTTTTAATGAACCGTGCTCACATAAAAAGAAGGGAGGCTTTGATCTCATCAGGTGGTGGGCTCCAAAGTTGTTTGAAATGGCTGAAATTTCTGATGTGTTCTTTTGAAATGTGAAATTAACATGAAATTTGTGTGTTGCTGTAGTCTTGAATTTGCTCTATCAGCATTTATTTTGCAGGTATTAATTCATGTGTTTGTTTTAAGGTTTTTGGTGCTTTGAGTCTATGTGCAAAAAGTTATTTCAACAGATACTGATGGCTCTAGAGACTGAAACCTTTGTGGCTGCACTCCAAATTCAGAATTACTACATGCATTAATATACCAGACTAACACAGATTGCTCTAATAAAATAGATATTTACTTTAAAATGATAGAAATAGTGTTACTGCACGTTCTGTTTGAGAAGCAATTTTCTATAAATATATACATTCAGCATACGTAGTAGGTATTCAGTGAGTTGGTTTTTTTCCTTTATCTCTATTAATTTTTGCATAGTTTGTATTAGAGCATTAATGTGCACTGTCCCTGATGCATTCAGAAGTTGTGTGCTTTGGGCTCTGTCTTGCTTTGCCAGCTTCAAATTCCCTGGTTATATTGTGCCTGAATTCAGAAGTGTTGGCTCATCAAGTAGGTAATGGATGCTTTGAAGAAGTGTT